CATTTATATAGATGAGTTTTCAGGTTTTATCCACCTGGGGGCTGAGTTTTGCATTCCAACTCCTTCAAGATGTTTTGCTCATCATTGGGCATTTACAATCATGGTTGTTTAAAATCTACAGGTTAGTTCCTACCTTGGAGTTGGAAGAGAGAATGGACATTCTGCTAAATTCTGAATTCTACCAATTTATTTATTTATTTGTGCATTTTTAGGTATTAAACAGATCTATATAATGCACCAATTCACAATGACACTGCATCATCATCATCTTCATTTAACGACCCCATAATCCCTTGTGGGGTGGAGTCTGGGCAACTGAATGGAGCTAGCAGAGTGTTTTAATGGCCGGATGCCCTTCCTGTCACCAATGTTCAGCGGATATATTCTCAGTGTGCCCAGAGAGAGAAATAGCTGCCTTTACCTAGGATCAAACACAGCCTCCTGATTGTGAGATAAGAGCTCTTACCCAGGGATGGGATTCAGCCAGTTTGGGTCAGTTCGGGCGAACCAGATATTAAATTTACATCTGGTTCACTGAACCAATAGTTGAACCGACCAACTGGACCCGCCCACCCCACCCCTCCCCTCCCCGGAGTCTCCATGTGGCCCATTTTGGGTGCAGGTAAGTGCAGGTAAGTGCATGGAGGCTCTGGGATGGCAAATAATGGGCCTGTTTCCAGCTTCTGGAGGGCCTCCGGAGCCCGGGGAAGGCCGTTTTTGCCCTCCGATAGGCGCGAGATAAGCCTCCAGACTCTGGGGAAGGTGAAAAATGGCCCTCCTGGAAGTTCCAGTAGGCCACACCCACCATGGCCACGCCCACCCAGCCCCTGGGCAAAGAACCGCTTGTTGGGACTTTTTGAATCCCACTCATGGCTCCACCTCTAGGCCACCACACTATACCACTTCAGAATGGCACTGATAGAAGAGGATCTTTGTAGCTCAGGGTTGAACTGTGGAGTCCTTGGTGCCATCTCTGAGTGCCTGTGGGTGAGGGTTTGGGGTGTTGCCCTAGGCTGGGTGATCCAGAGGCAATTCTAAACCGAGTGGGTTTACCTTAATCTCTCCTTTCTCACATGGTTCACTGCACACGGATCTGATGATGGAACTTTTCTTTGACCAAATGTCATCATCCATCATCTTCAGCTCACCATTGTCCCAGCTTCCGACATTGATGTAATCATATTGATCCTTACTCATTTTTTTAAAGTTCATGATCTCATACCTTTCCGAGAGAGAGAGAGAGAGAGAGAGAGAGGGAGGGAGGGAGGGAGGGAGAGAGAGAGAGAGAGAGAGATCACTCCGTTGAACTTAAACCCAAAATCAAGTCAAGGGTCCCCGTGAGTAAAGAGGTACAAAATCAGGTCACAGGTAACAAACAACATTTTTTTTTCATTGAGCTGTTAAATTTGGGCTGCATTGAAGTCAATAGGATTAATGTTAGATATGACCAGCAACCAGCATATATTTATGGAAGTTGCAAGATCATGCCCTAATAATTTGTGACCTTTCCAGGTGTCTCCCGATAAGCAAGGAATATAAATCCTTCCATCCTCCACCATTCAATCAGAACTGAAGAAGCTTCTTGGATGAGAAATAAAATGACTTCAAAGAAGAAAAAAAGGCCATTTGCCTTTTGAAAAGCACTTTTGGGATACATATGGTTTAAAATGTAATTTTTCTGCTTGGGATTGTATGATGTGTGGATGGCATCTTTTCCTAGGCATTAGGAGAGAAAGCAAACTAGAAACAAAGAGAAAACATATTTGGCTGCCAAGGAAAATGCTAAATGTTTTTTTTTCCTGTCATCTTCAAATGATTTGAAGCCTTTACTGAGAATGGTTCTGCCAACTGGCCAATTGTGATTCAAAATCCAAAATAGTGAGGCATGATTTAAATGTTAGCATGAAGCCAATTGGTCCAATCCATGGTATCTCCAAGAAGCAGCTTGTGTGAACATTTAGATCATTTTGGAAAATGAAGTGCTTCAGTCGCTTGGAGTCCATAGTTGTGGTCTAAGAAAATGATTAAAAAAAATCCTATTGAGTTTACTCATGTTAGGTCCTTTAAAAACTAGATTAAATACAATACAATACACATTACAATAGGCTAACTTTAATTATGTCAACATCTGGACTCATTTCAAGAATCCAGATGGCTGTGTTTAATCAAGAGCCTATCCTGTTGTATTGCATAACTGCCTGGTTTGGAAGCATTACTGTTTCGGACAGGAAGGGGACGCAGAGAGTGGTGAGGACAGCAAAAAAAGATTATTGGAAATTCACTTTCTTCTATCCAGGACATGGCATCTAAACGATGCTCGATCAGGGTCCACAGGATTGTTTGGGATGTTACACATCCTCTCCATGACATGTTTTCCCTGTTACTTTAGAAGGAGGCTTCATAGTATCTGAAGCAGAACATCTAGATTCAGTCATAGTTTTATTCATATAATATCAAACTTGTGAACTTCCAAGTTTCCTCCTGCTATGTATTCAAAATGGACAGTGAGGAATACACGTGTGTGTGTGTGTGTGTGTGTGTGTGTGTGTGTGTATAGAATTGTATGTATGTACAATTGTATGTATATACAGTATGTATGTATATGGGTATATATTGTTCTGACCTCGGCTTCCCCCAAAAGCACTAAGCAGACTCTTTGTCCTGGCAAAACCCCTTTTATTAAATGAAGGTGAATTTCTTGCATTCACTTTCAGCCAAAGGCCCGGCAAACAGTCTTTCAAGGGTGTAATTAGGAGCACAGACCTCATCTAGCTTGGAGAGCTGCCAAGTAAATATTTCCAAACACAGTGCTGACAAGGAAGGGCTCAGCACAGAGTCTCTGAGATGCACAGACAGATCTTCACACGGCTGCAACGAACGAATTGTTTCCTGCAAAAGCCCCCTCCCCTTTTGTTCCTCTTTTGATCCCTATGGGAGGGGCCATTCACCGTCCACCTGTGGCCTTACTCCCACCTCGAATTTTAGTTCGTAATTGTTCTTTTCTTTTGGCAGTTCTGCGCATGCGCAGGCTGGGAACCGGCTCCAGCTGCTCCCCCTCCTCACTGCTGTCCGACTCCGAAGGCAGCTGATAACTGCCAGCCTGCTCTGGCCCCATCTCTGCCTCTGATGCAGAGCCTTCATCTGAGCCTTCCTCAGCCTCCAGGACTGGCCCAGGTTCCTCTCCAACCTTCTCACTCTACTCTCAAAAAGGATATATATATTCTTTTGAGAGCAGGCAACAGAATTTCATTTTTAATGTATGCCAATGTGTTCACAGTAAAAACTGACAATAAGGATTATCTTATTTATGTTATCTTATTTTATTAACGAAATGGGGTACAGGTAGTTCTTGACTTACAACCACAACTGAGCCAATATTTCTGTTGCTAAGAGATATTTGTTAAGTGGGTTTTGCCCCATTTCACAACCTTTCTTGTAACAGTTGCTAAGTGAATCACTGCCATCGTTAAGTTAGTACCATGGTTGTTAAGTGAATCTGGTTTCCCCATTGAGTTTGCTTGTCAGAGGTTCACACAAGGTGATCGCATGACCCCGGGACACTGCATAAATATGAATTTTCAAGCATCTGGATTTTGACCATGGGGATGCCGCAACCATCACAAATGGTCATAAGTCACTTTTTCAGTGCCGTTGTAACTTGGAAAGGTCACTATATGAACTATTGTAAATCGAGGACAACCTGTGATTAGGCTTGCCAAGGCATTGTGTGTTTTCTAGATGGTGAAATATATACTATACCGTCCTGGTGAGTCTCCATTCTCATCGAACGAGATCATATCTCCAGAAACTCCGGTGAAATTGGCCTTCATCAGTGAATCCAGGAGTTTTCGACCATCAATTGGCTTCATGGCATCACAAAGACCTGCATAGCCCGGACACAGGGCCATTTGCATGTTGTGGAGGCCATAAGCCATGGAGTAGATTGCGTTGATCACAAACCCCATCTTGGAATCTTGTACATGTTGGGTTCCTAAGGTCAAATTACCTGTGGGAAAAAAAGAACACACAACGATCACCACTGATTCCGGTTTAACAAAATACACTTTATTGTCTGCTTGTTGGATGTTTTTCCTCCCTCCCTCTGTGATGACCCTAGGTGGAATACAAAATAAACACAGTCACAAAAAACAGGTGAAGCCCCTTTTATTCCTTCACTTTGCTTCCAAGCTCCAAATATCCAGGACTGGAGACAAAAAAACTCCCACACAAGCAGTTACAAGAAGGAGGAAATGCCGTTTAAATTATAAAGAGTAAAAAATAACACAAACCAGGCAAGATAAGGGCTGGAGGACGTCCACAGATAACAGAACACACACTGAGAAGGACGCCAAACTCAGAGAGGAGCCATAAACTAGAGATATTTCCACGCTTTGTTTCCAGCACTCGCTAGTACGCATGTCTGTCCTCTTATCCAGTTGTCACAGCTGCAGCCCATGAAGAGGATCAAGGCCCTCTCTCCCAAGTAGATGACGTCTCTCCCTTGTCCTCTCCTCTCTGTGTGCCCTAGGATGGGGAGGGGATGGGCCTGGGTCCTCTTCTGACTGCGCAGCTGGCCTCTGCGCTTCCCCAGCCTCCTCCACAACCTCCGGAGCCACACTTCCACTCCCTGTCGGATGTTCCTCGTCTCCCTCAGAGTCAGTCTTCACCAGGGGCATGACACACCCTCCCTCCCTCCCAACCCTACATTAGAATAAATAAAAATATCTGTATTTAGTCAATACCACAGTTCTCTTTAACACCAGGCCTGACTCTCCATTCTTCCATAGGGTCAGCAAGTAGTTATATTTTCATGGAAGTCAACCTACCAGTTCTTTTTTCAGTAAGTGTCTCCAAGCAAAGGGTCTGGCATCTCAACAAAGAGGCCTGCTTAAAAAGAACAGTTGGAAGAGAACGTTCCCTGGCATGTGAGCCGCGAAAAACCAAGAAATTTCCCCACCACCAAAAATATTGCCATGGCGACGAAATAGTGTGCGATTGCTGAAGTGGCCTGCCAATGTCAAAGCACGTGTTTGCAAAGCCTCCCCCTGTGTGGTGGCTTGAAAGATGTTGGGTAGAGAAGCCATTTTCTGTTCAAAACAGTGGGAGCCACTGAGAACAGAAGGTCCTTGTAGGGACAACAGCCATTATAACGAATTCCAAATGGAGCTCTTACTCTTACTCTTACTTCCCCTGAAAGTTAATGACTACTATTCATTTGGAAAGGAAAAGTTGTTGTGTGTGGTGTTTTGCCAAGGAAACTATTCATGCCCTACAGTCATTTCCTCCCCCTCCCAGAAAATAAGAAAACCCACTTTATATAACCTTAGATTGTCCAATGTAATAATCTTATGCAATTCTATTCACAGTAATGCTTCAGGACAATTAGGTATCCTTGCTTTGTTATCCTATGGTTCTCAGTTCCTGCCATGTTTCCAAGATCAGCTTCCTTTTGGGTTCTTCAGGACTAAGAACTTAGAACGAGAAGGGGATGATGATGATGATGATGATGATGATGATGATGATGATGATGATGATTTCTTCCTCCTTATTCTTCCTCTTCCTCCTCCTCTCCCTCTTCCCCTGTTTTTCTCCTCTTCCCCTCCTCTTCTTCTTCCTGCTCCTCCCCCTCCCCCTCTTTTCCACCTCTTCCCCTCCTCCTCCTCTTCTTCACCTTCACCTCCTTCTCCTCCACCTCTCTCTGACGTAAGATTTTTTAAATATTTCATTTGTGAAAATAGAAACCAAAGCCATCATTTCTCTATGAAAGAGGAGGATAGTCGTTAGTTTCAAAGTTGCAAAAGTGTCAAGATGGGGAACCCAAGTCTAACCCAGCGAGGAAATTTTGACTGAGAAAAACAAGAAAATTTTTAGAGCAGCGTTCCTTGGAAATGGAAAATGAAGGAGAAAGGTGTGAGGGAATGAAGTAGAACAGCATAGAGGGAGAGAGAAAATGGACGCATCTCAATCTTTTTTTTTTTTCTCTCAGAAAAATACCTTCTAAGAAATTCCAGTTCAGCTTGGATTTAAAGTCTAACCTCCCATTGGCTGAAAGGATACAGAGCAGAGGCAGATAATCCCTGGCTTCCAGTGGACTTCATGAAGATAGCTATTGAGGTCTTCTCCTTCCACGATTTCTGGCAGCCCAACAAACAGCTATGAGCAAGTTGCCAGGAAGTCCTCTTTCCCCCCATGGCTCTCAGCAGCCTGCCAAACAGCTGGTAATGGGCTATGCTGTTTCAGTCTCTGGGTTTCTGCTATTACTTGCATCAAAACCCAACCAGTGATCTTCAGTAGTAGCCTAGAGCTAAAAGGGGGGCATTTAAGTAATTGAGTCCCTACCTCCTGCTCAGTACAGAAATTAAAGCATCCCCAACAGATGGCTCTGAGCAGCAGGGTCGCTAAGAAGCGAAATAATGGACTATGCACCCCCTCTGCCATTTTGTTCAGGATTCTTGCTTTCTTTTGCTTTCTACCAGAAAACAGAAATGCTATCAATAAAGCAGAGTATTTGTAGCTCTGGGTTGAAAGGAGGGGTCCTTGGTGCTCCCTGAGCTTGGTTGCTTTCTTGCAGACATTTCATGATCCAAACTAGGCAACATCATCAGTGCTATTCATCAGCTACAATCCATGAACGGGGGTAACCCTCCCCTATCTTAAAGATATCTCAGAAACAACCAACTGATGAGTAAAACCATTTGGCATGTTTGTGGCACACAAAGCATCTAAAATCCTCCAAAACATATTAAACAAACCAAAGGACCCAGTAGTCTAAGAAGAACAAATAGAAGTCATCTACAACATGTAGGATAGACATGCAGAAGACTAGTAAAACACACACACACACACACCAATTAACAGTGAGAAGAAATGATGAAAAATTCTTAATCTCATGAAAAATGGACAGACTCAATGATAGTTTCAACTGGGAAACTATTAGTATTTTAGATCAAGTCCAATCCAAAAACACCATGCAATTCCCAGAAGCTTGGCATTCAGACAAATCAGCCATCAACAGAGACATAGAGGTAAACAAGTTTATCAACCATTTAAAAGAGACAGTAAAAAGCCCTAGGAAGGAAACAAAGACTCGGATATTTCCCTTCCTGCAGCCAAAAGTCAGATAAGCAGGGATCAGCACCAGACAAACAATCAGGTAGAAAACAATACTCTAATCAAGGAGTTACCAAGGAGGAAACCGTGCTCCCACCAAAACTATAGTAAGGAAAGCTACGATATATATATGTACAGCAAACCCCACTGTCACTTATGCTGATGATGTTACCTAGTTGGGTAATGAAACATCTGCAAGCAAACAACCAAGAACAGAGAACATCAAGCACTCCAAAACTCATGAGAATACCATGATAGCCAAGAAAATCAAGCAAACAGATCATAGAACAAATCAATTCAGAGTTGTCACTTTGATGCCCAAATGGATCAAATTATCAAATTCTGGGCACATTATCTGAGACGTGCATGATGTCAAGAAAGGTGAAAAGAAAGAGAAGAAGATGACAGCCAGCAGCAAACTAGATAGGATTAATTACATCAACGGTGGGTGTACTGTTGGAAGATTGGAAAAGCCAGGTTGGGAAATAGTCTGGATATGCTGTGAACCTTTATTTATGTGATTGTTAAGAGTTGTCACTGAATTGATGGTTCATAATCAACCAACCAACCAAGTATCAATCCCTCAATCATTGTTGCCATGAATTATGATTGATTCATTCTAGCCTTATCAACACAGCATATTTCACCTACTCAACAGTTTATTGAGTCCAGTTTCTGTTGTGATAGTTCTTGCAGCATACAATCGTATAATACTCATACTCTTTCAGAGAGCCAGGATGACAGTGGGAAAACTTTATCATATCTCTAAACCTTTTGGAAACCAGAAGGTATGACTTGGTCACTATCCATGCTTGGGAGACATGATCTGTGCTGAAATAATCTGACAGCAAGTTGTATAATGGGGAGCCTTGTTTGTCCACTTAAAATCTCCAAACTTTCTTGGAAGACAAGAGGCAACATATCCCAGGGCTGGATAGGAGACAGAGGAAGAAAGTAAAGATAGTGGTAAGAGTTTACTCTGGTAAGTTTCTGTCTACTGTGTGTAAGCAAATAAAGAACTGAACTCTTGAATTGTTCCACATTGTTTTTGGGTTGAGTTGGATATAGAGTTTGTAAACCATTTGACTTGGTTATATTGACTCTTTGCAGTCCACGGTTAACCAGGTGAAGGTAATTTAATTGAAAACAAAATTGGGGTTGCTTTAATTTAAAACTAACTCCCTCTTAACCCACTGCTATAAAAAGAATGAAAAAATAATTAAAATTTATTGGACCCCTATATCAAATAATAAGCCCAGCCTTCCTTTCTGCTGGACCATTTTATCTTTTCTACTTACAATGACCCTAAAAGCAGTATGTAAGCAAATATTATCTCTATACACGTGCATATATATGCCAGATTGGAGCACAAAGCTTATACAGAATGTACAGCAATTACAACATCTGCTACACAAAGGCACACTCAGACACCTGATTAAAAATGCGAGGAGCAACCATTCGAAAACCTTTGGGTTTTAGGGGCAACCTGCCCTAGTAAATGGACATGTTTTTTTAAAAATTTTTGTCTACCATTCTACAGTGTAGGGCCTAATTACACTGCCCCTGGAGTAGTTTTGATTATGAAATGACACTGGTGTTGAAAAGATAGCTGCTCAAACAGTATTTTCGAAGATTTCATAAAGAGGGATGATTTCCCACTGGAGCGCAGCCTGAGATTTTCCATCATTATCACCACACCTGCCTTATTATTTCCCCTCCTACATATACATTTCCTCTGTTGCTGTCGAATTCATTATTGTACATTCTGCATTATTTAATCTTATAATGTGCAGAATGTATCTGTTGCTTGGTGGTGCTAATTACTCAGAGGTATACGTTCAATTATCTTCCAAGACCATACAATCTCGCATTGGATCTTGCTTTGTTCCTTCTGCA